AATATAGAAATCCTATTTTGCTATATATTTCCAATATTTTACTTCTACTTTCCATATTTTTCTATTTTCTTTTTTGGTCCGTCTAAAACTATTTTTTCCATTTTCTTTTTAAGTCCACTTTTTTAAAAAAAAAATTCAATAATATCTTTCTGTTTTGCCACTAATCTACTTTTTATTACTTTTTTAATAAGAAAAGAAGTTCTAAACGTATATAGTACATGCATTTTTAAAATTTTGGCACTTCTTTACTACTTAATAAAGAGAAATATCGTCATAGCACTAATATATGCTTAAAATACTCAATATAGAACTGCTATGGAATATTGGAATTCGTGTGGATCCAACTTCAAATTTGTCCTTGCAATTCACACTGGCAAAAACTGTGTTTAAGTTGGTATACACTTATAGAACATGAGCATAACACACTGTCTTCATACCCAATGTAACATGTATCCACACTGTCAAAGTACGATCATTCCACACTATCAAAAAATGTGTTTAAGTTGGTATACAGTTTCATAATATGTGCATAACACACTATCAAAAAGTGTAATTAAGTATTGTAAACCATAACACACTGCCTAGAACATAGGCATAACACAGTATCACAAAGTGTATGCAACATGACCATTCCACGCCGTCAAAAAGGTTGGTATACACTTCCAATTTGGTTTATTAATTGTGTTTAAATAGTGATGAGTGGCATGACGGTTCTAAGTGCTACATACAAGGAATGAGAATAACCTCATAAGATTATGGATCTCAATAAATATGTCAAATGAAATAATTAAAATACTACATTATAATAAAAGAGTTTGATTGGAAGAGATCTGGGTCATAAATAGTTAAATGTGTGAAAACAATAAGGAATGCTATATGTGTAGTATTGGATCTTTTAGACTGCTACATACGGTGATTTCTAACTTGAAAAGCGTGTCAAATCAACACATGAAAATCGTTTCCGGATGGAGAAAGTACTCTCTCCCTCCCTAGACTGTTTATCAAACTTTTGGGCCACTTTTTTACTATGAATTAAATATAGTTTAAAATAATTAAATATTATAAAAATTTATATTTTAAAATAAACCTAATACCAAAATAAGGGTTCCGTATTTTATTTCTAAAATATGAATTCACAATATGATAATGTAACATTGTATATTTGCATCTCACAATACTTTTGTAAATACTTGATATACAAATGAAATACCTCGTTTTTTGTCTACCCCTATTATCCTTTTTGGTTTCTAGAATTTCATTTGGTAGTTTATATTCTACTCCTTACAAAAAAAAGAAAAAACATCATTTATGTATTTGTATATTTCAGAATTAATGAAAAATTAGAAAATCACTCCCTCATCCAGATTTACAGTATTTGTTTACTCCGGGTATTTTTCTCAATCGTTTCAAATTAGTTTATCATTTCTATATATAATGAAATATGACAAAAAAGATTCTAGAAATATGGCAGTAACAAATTACAAACACATTTCAAAGTTTACTTGATTTTAAGTGTAAAACTTAAAAACATTACTCTGCATATAATAAAAAAACTATATTAAAAATTCTACAAAACAATATGTGATAAGACTAAATTACTTTATAAAATGAGTAGTACAAATAAACGAACAAAATGTGTTAAATTTGACTTTGTGAATAATGTCTGAAAAAATTTACGAGGTATATAAGGAGTATGAGAAATATAAATATAATCCATAAGTCACTTTTAAAAATAGAAAAATATTTTTTAACATCTAAATTTAAGAAGGGTGGTACCAAAAAAAATATTAAAAAAATTGTAAGATTCTTTGTGGTGGACAAAAAAGGTTCTACTCCATGTGGAAATATTGTTCACATGCACTAGGACTCTAGGAGTAGTATTCCTTTCCTTCTGTTAACATTTTGTAGCTTAAAAAATAGTGGCATTCCACAATGAGAAATAAAAATTTGAGAGATAATTGTCTTTCTTTCTTTTTTGAATTGTTTTAAATTTATTCTTTTCTTTCTTTTTTTGGAAAGTTTTTTGTACTTCAACTTTTTTATTTTTTTACATCATTTTTCAACCACAAAATTTCATTTTTTTTAAACTAGTCATATTAGGATTATTAATTTGAAAGGATTGAAGTATGATAGAGTACACCTCTAGTACTTTATCCTTGTTTTTTTGTCCGAAGTTAGGAGTGAACACGGTATCGGTGCAGAACCGCTACCTGCGCCGAAATCAGCGGTTCTGCCACGCACTGGAGCCAGTCACAGAGGAGACCGTACCCGGAACCAGAACCGGAACCGATGGACACGAGTCTAGTTCCGGGTCGTAATTTTCTTGGGTCAGCCAGCTTTCCAACGGTCCAAACTGCAAACTCCATAGTGCCTGCAGTATGTAGAACAGGCTGAACGGCTATTAAATCCGTTAGGGTGGGGGTGGAGGTTTGAGGGTGGGGGATCAAATTTAACATATATATACCCCTAATTTAAAAAAAATCATAAAACATATTCTCTAATCCTTCTCTAAATTTGAATTCTCCTCAATTCCCAATATAATTACTATATTATAATCATATATTCATATATTTAAAAAAACAAGGGAACCTTCGATTATCGACCGGAACCGGTACCGAAATTGCCGGTACTGGAACCGGTGCCGACAATGTCCAATCCATCACCGGTTTCGGTCACATGGGGTGGCAATACCAGAACTGGCGGTTTTGGAACCGGAACCGTACCGTGTTCACCCCTACTCGAAGCATATGTGTATGTGATGCAGTCACAAATTAGACTTGACATAAGTTGTCCACTTGTGGTAGAACCACAAAAAGTATGATGGAATATGCTCGCATGAGTAGCTCAACTGATCCAATGAGAAGATGTGAAATTCACTATTTTTAAGGAGTAGCGTGAGAGTTCTATTCTTTGTTATAGTTTCTTGTGTACTGTGCACCAATTACACGGTGATCTCTTTAAAGAGAAGATTGAGATTATAACATGATTTATTTCTTACAATCCTCTCAGAATGGACTGTGAGGGCTTCCGGAATGAGCGTTCCACAAAAGTGTGATGGAATACGACAAGAAGGATGATTAAAAGAGTCTGATATGATAATAGATTAATTATATTATTTATTAATTATTTATTTACCAGACAAGAAGGATGCAACCCACTTTAATTTGAAAGGTAATTAAAAATGATATATGTATTTAGAATCTTCTAATATAAAAAGCTAAAGTGAAAACATGAATAGTGCTAACTTCCCGCCTAAAGTTCTCGGGCACAATTTGGGCATTGAGTTTGGGTACCGGATTGGGCAAAGAAGAAAATTGATCCGATTGGGCAAAAGGGTTTTTTGTTGGGCAACATGTGTTTTGATGGCATGTGTTGGGGACATGTATTTTCACTTCAATTAATATACTTTTTTTCTCACACACCCCAATGTAAAATCATCATTGCTTTCTCCCACAATAGATGTTCGAATTTAATGTTTATAAATAACCCTTGCCCAATACCTTCAGTTCATTTCCCAACCAGTAGAAGTTTTGAAAATTTCATTTTTCCAATAGGACTCCCAAACGTGTTTTCCCTGGTCTCTTTACCAATCTTGGTGAGCTCGAAAAGGACCACATCAACATTGTTATCCACGTACGAGCTATTCTTGTCTATCACGTTCAACCTTTTGGAAGAAATGTTGAATCGATGGAGGTTGTCTTTCATGACGATGAGGTATATAAACTTTGTTTAAATCCTGATGATTCAAGTTATTTTTTAAGGCATTCAAATTAAAGTTGTGCACTCAAACAAGAAAATGTTTACCACTGTTTTTTTTTGAAATATTCAAACGGGCATGTCAATTCAGGAAGGTAACTTTATGGAGTTTTGTGTTATTAATTAACCTTCATTGGAGATTGTGCAATGACGGCTTTGCTTCGGTATTCTAAAAGCATATTACTTCTATCACCACCTTTTGAAAATCTAACTATATAAAAAGCTAGGATGATTTTTTGAATAATGTTCTCCCATAAATTAATGAATTATCCAATAGTATGGGCATGTCGAAGGCTTAATTGATGGGTAGTATAATAATATGGAACTGCATGCATTATAAAGTTTGTGCGTGACTCAATGCAAATTTTATGTCAAATCAAAATAAATAAGTAAGTAGTATATTGATATGAATCCACATGCATAGTAATGTTAGTGCGTGGCTCGATGCAGACTTATTTTTACACGATCTAACTACTTCTTTCTGAATATAAATATATTCATCGATCATTTGATTAAAGCATTTTTTTATTCTCAAGTTCACAATTTTTTTATGGACCTTATCATATGAAATCCTTTATATATATTGGACCTTGTAGAGAAAAAAGACACCCAATTATAAATCTATGAAAAATATGCGAAAAGATTTATATTTCACATATGCCTCATATGCCTCTTACAATCATACATGCATTATTCTTTCATTAAATAGCATAGGTGTGTCATTTATAATTTTGAGCCTTCTATACTACACTCACCCAAAATGATATTTCAGTCCCAAATTGGTATTCCATAATCAAAAAATCGAAAATTCTATAACTTTAAAACTCTTTTAAGAATACATATTTACAAAATATACCAAAAGATTTACAACACAAGAAGTGACAAAAAAATTTACCTTATCAATAATTTGTGAAAACATGCAAGTATAGAACATATAATGAAAGTGTTTCTTGTACTTATTGACTTATTACGGATAAATAATTTTTAACTAATAAACTGCTTATAAATCAAATGTCTTTCATGAAAATAAAATAACTTAAATTATAGATAATTTACTTAAAAATACTCATAAATGGTGAGAAACAGTTTTATAAATAATCTGGTCAAAACAGAGAAACGAAAAAACTAATATAAAAATAAGTAACTAAGATCTACTTATTTTTTGGCTTATAAACAATTTATAAGTCAACTTATAAGCACACAAGAACATGACATCAACTAACTTCTAAGTTAAAAAATACTTGTAAACAGTTTTGACCGGCTTATAAACACAAAGAAACACCAAGAATACATATAATACAACGACAAATACATATGTACTGGTATAACAATTGCATAACAACCAGTGATATCTCATATGATACACATATTTGCACAACATAAAACTTACACACACTATTAGCTTTTGATGAAATCATACTATGATCACACCACACATGACACCAAAGTTTTCCCAACAAGTGTTTCTGGGGTTTGTGTGTGACCGTTTCTGGTCGTGTCAACTTTGGTGTTATCCCTGTGGTTAAAGTAGCATTCCCCTTGACCTTTTTTTCACATATACTTTCTTGATATTCAGTGTTTAGCTTCTTTAATCTATATCTCCTCCTATGGAAACTAGATTAAACACAGTAAGTACTGCTATTATGCTGTACAAACAGAAAACAGATTACCAGATATCGGCGACACCCACGGCCGAAGAACGATATGGCTCATCATCTTCTTCCTCGACCTCCACCTCGAACTCGTCCATTTTAGCCACGAGGTTCTTCAAGTCGACGACCGAGAGCTCGTCGAGTCTCTTGACGACCAAGTCAGCCGCGCCGAGCTCGTACACCAGGTGCTTGCTAGCAACGGCAACGCATCTCATCCGTGCATCGTGCGCGGCCTCCACGGTCAGGTTCGAGTTTCCGAAGACAATGCACCTCTGGGGTACGATCCCGAGAAGCCGCGCCGCGTAGATGAACATCTCCGGGTCCGGCTTCCCCCGGTGGACGTCTTCTGAGGCTACGACCGCATCAAAGGGCCGTTCCTTTTCGATTCCCGCGGAGCGGACCGCGGCCTCGACCGCGACTCTCGGGCGAGTCGAGACGAGAGCCATTGGGATGTTGTGCTGCGTCAGAGCGTTGATGAATTCATGGGAACCGGAACGGAAGCGGTGGGTCCCGCAGTGTAGAGCTTGGTAGATTTCCTCCTTCCGAGCCGACATTCTCTTCGTCTCGAGAGAATCCCTTGACCAGCAAAGAACTTCGGATATTGCTTGCTCGTTCTTCATCCCCTCGATTCTCCGGAGTATAAAAGCCGGCGGTGGGGGTTTCCCCTCTTCCCTAGAAAGAGCCAACCAGGCTTCCCTCTCGAGGTCGGGGTTGTCTTCGATCAGCACACCTTCCCACTCAAACACAGCAGCCAACCACCCGCAACCCAGTCTCTCGTGACGGACCAACGGGTTATGAATTGCCGGGCTATCTACCCTATTCTCCGGTGGCCATGACCTCCGCTCTACATCCGATTCAACCATCTTATCCATAGACGGCGTTTGCATCACCTGGCTTCTTATGGGGAAACGACCCAACGTCCGATTGGCCCATAATAATCTCTTGTGAACAGGTTTCGGACAACGAAGAAATCTCAAAGACAGAATGCCGCGGCACACACCAGCACCGAGTGGCTTCTTCCCCTTCCCACCATGAACTGGAAGGGGACTCAAAAGAGACCAAGTAGCAGCCATTGATTCCACAGTCTTCACAGAATATATCCAAAATCACCCAATCTTTGGTCCAATTTCAAGACATAAAACACACTATCTATCTTCCTGCTCAACTATTAAAAACCAGAAGAGAAAGGGAAGAAACCAACCAAAATGGATGATTTCCCCACAGCTTGCAAAAGAAACCACTTATTATAAACCAATAATCAGAGTACTAATCAAAACCCTTCTTCCCCACAACAAAAAAATCAAACTTTATGGAAACCCTAACATCAGATGGGTGAACTAAACATAAAACCCCCAAAATTAATCCACAAGAGAAATAAACAGAACACAGACGAGGACGACGACTCGAGAATTAGTATTATTCTCAGAGGGGAAGATAAAGCTGAAGATCAAACATAAAACCCTAACAAGTGCGGGAGGAATCCGAAAAAATTGCGCAGTTCGAATCAGGAAATTCGGTAAAGAAAAGAAAAGTGAGATTCTGGGAAAATATATTATTATTTGCGCGATGATTCTGTAAATATTTACAAAGAACAGATTGAAGGGGAACGAATTAACCTGAGAATGCCTGAGATCGGAAAAGAGAAAATAATTTTTTTCCCCTGTTTTTGGCTAATTTTACAATTGGGGACGAATTGTTGTGTGGTTATAGAGGACCAGAAGAGACGGGACGGCCGCCATCGACGTCGAATTGGCTTAAGGTGGTTGCCGAGAATGACGAAAGTACCCTCCAATTTTAGGATGTATTTGCCGAAATGACACGCTAGACAAATGGATCAGACGAATTGACGACGACAGATGTAATTGACAAATCTACCCCCTCCCTCTATAAATAAGTTTCATTTTCTCAATTTTTCTTTTACGTTCGTATTAAAAAAGTTTCATTTTCTCAATTTTTTAAAAACTTTTGTCACTTACGAAAACGCGAAATACTCCATACTATTTATTACTTTTCCGCATCACTTTCAAATATACTTTCTCTGTCCCTAATTTGATTGCTAATTAAAATTTACCAGAAAAAATTTTTCACTTTTTAAAATTATTTTAATCATAAATTAGTATATCAATAAAAAATAAAAATTACATATTAAAAAATTAAACAAAAATTTTACAAAATAAGATATGATAATAATATTTTATTTTATTAAATACTTCATGAAATCACGTAAATAAATAAGAATTGTCGTGAGAAGAAAAGAAAAAAATTTATAATCAAAATGAGGACGGAGAAATTATTATATTTCTTAATATTTGTGTAACGTTAAATGTGAAATATTTTTGCGAGATAAAGAGACAACAAATTGAAATATTTAATACAACTGGAAAAGGAAGCTTCTAAGTTCTATCTAGAGATAGACATGTTGGGCTACCCGTTCAAGTCGGAATATTTTATTCAGCTTTGTATTGGGCTTAAATATAAAAAACTGAAATACAATAATTGGGCTTTGGAAAACCATATCTTTTTTATTAGTGAATTGGGGCCTTATAGCTTTCTTTAATATTCACTAATACTAAACTAGTTCCATGGTTTTCACTAATATGTAAATGGTTATAATTTGTTATAAAAAAAAAGAGTTATAAAATGTGATAAGATTATACAAAGTATTTTTTATGAAGTGAGCGATGGAAATAAACAAAAAAAAACAAATTTTGATTTAATATTTTTAAAAGTATTACTTTTATACTTACAATATAATCCGTACATACATGCTTCCTCAATCTAATAAGAGTGCTTCTTTGGTCAGTTTGGTGCACCTTAGGCGTATATAGTTTTTTGAAAACCTTGTGACATAATTCTTTTATTTAACAAAAAAAAGATTTATTTAAATAGTTAAAGATGCTTATTTTGTTCATATAGAGGCCCATGGTAGACCTTAAATCCACCATAGAATTTGTAATCTAACAAAACTCAAAATAGTATGCGTCCACTCGAGTTCGAACTTGTGATGTCCCAATTGAGGTAAACATAGTTATGTTAATGGATCACAAGATCTTTAACATAACATTTTTTGACTTTTTGCATAATAAACAAGTTCTTCACCTTTTAAAATTCAAGTTTTTTTGGACTTGGGAAAATACATACTCAACCATAGATTTCAACCACAATTAATGTGAACAAAATAAAAAGTGTACCCCGGCCTACAAATTCCTGTGGATGGTAAGAAATGTTAATCAATTATGAGGCATTAGTCTCAATATTTATTTTAGAATTGAGTAATGTTTTTAATTAGTATTAGAATTTTGAACAATTCTAAATGGCATTAATTAATTTCTAAAATGTTTTCTATATATTATTGTTGAATAGTATTTTCTAAATAAAAAAACTAAACGATAAAATATTGTTAAACGGACACTAGCCATGATATTTATTTATTTGTAATTTATTGTAATTACTACGTATATATTGCGAGTATGAGTATGACTTTTGCAAATAAAAATGGACTGAATAAAAGACTTTAAATAATTTCTAATGACTTCACCAAAAGAAAGCACATTTTTTTTGGAGAAATTAAAGTGTGAATTAAATAAATAAAATATCATCAATACTTTAAAGCCCATAATAAATTCTTTTGAAAACCAATGCACCCATAAAAAATAAATTGGACCAAATAAAGTAAAACCCTTTTTTTTATTTTCTGACAAGGTATTTGAGTATTTGTATTTCATCCATTAATTAAAATCGTTTACTTTGTGTTCTAAAAAGAATGGTTTTATATTAAATTTGTGATAAGTATACTCTGTTTGACAAAAGAAATATATACTCCGTGCTGTTTTGTCTCATTATTTTAAGCTAATTGGTCTTACACGTATTTATAAGTAAGTTTGAAAAATAGGGAGTGGGAATAAAGTGTCATTTGGTCTAATGGATAAAAGTAATACAACCAAATGTGTGACATGGTCTCTCATCAATTATAACATTATTTTGCTTAAATGTTGTCACTATTATTATTATTATTATTATTATTATTATTATTATTATTATTATTATTATTATTATGTTTTGTTGTAGAGATTTCTTTTTTGAGAAAGGGCAATTCTAGAGATGCCGAAAGGTATTTTGGAGATGCCGATGCAAAACTACTCTTATTTGAGGAATTCATGTTTTCGACTTCTATTTAGATATATTTTATATGTTTTAGTCTTATTTAGATTTTTTTTTCTAATACCTGTTTACAAATATTTTGTAAACTTTGACTCCGATATGTGGAAAAAATATATTGTATTATACTCCGTAATATATATTTAATATCAATATATTTATATTGAAACATAGTTTTCAAATGTCAAATTATTATAAAGGCCCCGTTTGGCATCAGCGTTAGAGATTAGCGTTAGCGTTTTGAAAAAGCTATCCGACGGTAGCCTTTAACGTTAGCGTTTTCAGAATTAATCTGCACCATTAAAATTTTATCCAAAATGCTAACGCTAATCGAAAACGCTATTACCAAACAAAGCCAAAATGTATCTGTGTATGAATATAAATATTAATGTTGAAAATACAACATTGAAGATCATGAAAAGTGAAATGGAAAAAATATTTTCGGGCAGCAGATTTGTTTTAGATACTCCGTATAATCTTATACCCGAATATGCATTAAGGTTGATCTTATCACGTTAATAATAAATTGTTAAATGATGAATGCACATTAATTTATCTTATCAAATTATTTATTTAGAAGATTCATAGCATATCCCTTAAAAAGTTATCTTTTAAATTTTTTATATTTCCCAATTCAATTTCCTTTTTCAAATTCATATTGTTTTATGAGGTTTACCTTTTTCCTATTTCATTTATTTCTTCCACTCTTTTATTAAATAATTACCGTAAATAAATGATACGGAATAATTAATAGACTCAAGGCACTATTTTCATGTGAAATTTGCACTAAATAGGACTAAAACATAATGACTTCCCTAATGTAATACTTAAACTTTTTTATTCCCTAAATAGGACTTAATAATGACTTAGTGGGAGGAATAATGTCCAATAATGATGTACATTTACTTGAATAATGACTACTTCATAATGGCCAAAGGTCCTACATTGAGAAATAAAAACATATGGTCCTATATTGGCAAAGTCATTATGTTTTGATCCTATTTATGTAAATTTCTCTATTTTCATTCTTAAGGAAGACTCAAAGCACTATCATCATTACTTATATATGACTATATGCACTCATTTCATCATATTGAGAAAAAAACTTTGTTTTAACTTCATAAAGTTTAAAAAGTTAGAAAATGTATTATCATTAGAATCTATTTAGAATAGAGAAGAAATATTGTAAAAATTTGTATATACAGAGTAGTTTCAAAATATAGTTTCAAAATATATGAATTGTAGGAATGTTTGCAGGCGAACAACACTGCGGAACATTGTTGATAAAAAAACTCGATAGTATAACTAATCGCATATAAACGCTTTCAGATCAAAGTTATTTCGGGGTATATGAAATACTTCAATCGGATAAGACATTAATCAACAACAAGTACTCGAAATCCGATACTCAACCCATAACACGAGACTCTATTTTATAGAATAAAAAATTCATGACCGGACATGAACGTTCGCGAAGACGCATACGTTCGCGCGGAGTGGAAGAAACGCGCGAGAAGACGAAAGGGTTTCAACGAAAGGTCTCCTGCGGTTTTAGAGTCAAATTCGACGTTATCCACTTGTTCGAGTCCTTTATTATTTTGGACTCCGATAACGAAAATCTTAAGGATTTTTATAAAGAAAAAACGTATGTGTGGACCCCGCCAGGGGCTGGCCCCAGACCCTCCCTGTGAATTTGTAATATTGTTGAACGAGTGCGCACTCCGCGCCTCCTAACTCGTCTGACAACGTCTTTTTAAATTCTTATTCAATCTAATTAAATCCAATCACACAAAACAATCGATGATACTAAAATCACCAACATGAATTTCATTATTTTTTTTATAATTTTTTTAACAATAAATTTCTTAATAATTGTAAATCAAATAAAGAATTTAATTTTAGGACGGAGGTAAAAATGGCAAGGCAAAAATGAAATGCCACACGGTGACATGGACTATTTCAACCAATAAAAAATAACCCAGTCACCGTGTGACAAATTAGTGGAGTGTCGTAACATACAGTGGCAAGTCATTGTTTTTGTTTATTTTTGTACTTTTTAAATGATTTTCAATTATCAAAAATTATTTTACACATTTATTACATCATTAAAACATGTCTACTTCTTTTAGAAAATATTTTCTTTCAAAAATGAAAAATATAAAAAATTTTAAAAAAAATAAAAAATGAGGGAGTCATGCCTTGCACATGGAATGAAAAATGGGATGGAATGGTCAAAGAATATCATGATTTGAGTGACATTTGCTGACATGGCAAAACAAGGCAAGGCATTGTATTGACATTGTGAATGCTCTTCTTTAAAGTTTAAATGGATGAAAAAGGAAAAAAAGGAAATGAGTAGGGGAGTGTTTTATTAGGAGAAACTAATTAATTTTGGACAGCAAATCAAATCAAATTCAATTCAAACATATATGTTCTTCAAGATATAAAGGCGCCTTGGTGAGACAGGATTTTTGGTATCTTTGCTTTTAAGAACACATCCAACTGTCAAACAAACCCTTTTTTTCTTATATGAGGGCTTTGAGCTAATAAAGTGAATAGACTTCTTGAACAAAATCATTGGCTTCTTCCAATTACAAAGGCTAGTTTGGGTTTTGCTATTTCTTCACTTCTCTGAGATCAAGTCTGGGTTTTTGCCCATTTCTCCCATTGAAACCCTCTGCATTTTAAGGTTAAAAACTTCTTTTTTTCTCTGATTTCTTTCAATTTATTAAGAAATGAAGCATTGTTCTTGATCTTGCTCATATGTTGTTTCTTATTCATTCTCCCTAATCTTTTTCCCCTGTTCTCAATTTTTTTTGCCAATAGAACTTGAAAGATTGGATCTTTTTGCCAGTTCAATTTCAAGAAAACTGAGACCTCTAAATTTTTATGGGTTTGAGGTCAGTCAAATGATTCCTCTCAATTTTGCACTCACTTTGTAGAAATGGGTAAATGGGTTTTTATTTTATTTTTTTCTGTTTTTTTAATGCTGTAAAATAAATTACTGAAATTCCTGTCCTTTTTCCCCCAAGATTCCTAGTATTATCTTCTGCAGTTTATAGTGACATTTTGGTTTCTCAGTCTGGATTTCACTGTTTTTAGATCAGGTCAATAAGGATTGCTTGATAAAGAAAAAAAAATCGAATCTTTGTATTACAAAAAGAAAAAAAATTGAATCTTTGAATTCAAGATTTTCTGTTCTAACATTTAGTGTTGTGGTTTTGGTTTGATTTGTCAGTGATGTGATCGCGGCCGGCCGGACAGACATGGATTTGGAGTTCGACAAGTATTGCGTGTTGGACGGGACTCCGAGTCCGACGACCGTTCTTCCGGCGGTTCCTCCGCGCCGCCGTGCGAAGCTCGAGAAGAGGATTTCCAGGGGGAAATACAAGTCCGGGGATCTGTGCCTCTCCGGGTTGATCATTGACGATATCGACGCCGATTCATTGAGTCGCCGGCGATCCAATATGTGTTCCCCGGAAACCAGCAGCAGGGCGAAGATTGAGTTCTCCCGCGACAGCGTCGCCGCTACCTCGTCGGGAATCATGGACGCATTGTGTTGTAGTTCAGACGACGACGGCGGCGGCGAGGAGGAGGAGAATCGGTGCTCCTCCTCGAGTTCCGGGTTTTGTGCGAGGAGATCCAGTCAAATCCTCCATCCCGATCTTTTCAACTTCCCGATCGATGACATCATCAGCAGCCCAAAGACGGCGGCGGCGGCCAAGTCAGGCCCAATAAAACGGATGTTCGGTAAAAAAATCAAATCTCCGAGGAGCAGCCCGTTGGGGAATCCAGTCGAATCCGTTCCCGGCGGCACTCCCCGACCATCGGCAATTTGTCTCCGACAAGGCGGCGGCGCCGTCCTCAGGCTGGAAAGGAAACACCTCGGCGGGCCTGCTTTATTCGAGTTCTCACCAGCCGGCGACGACGTCGTTTTTGTGGCAGAGGAGACGCGGAATGCGAAGAACACGACGGCATTTGAATTCCGTTCTCTGCATAAAAGTAACACAAAGAGAGACGCCGTTGAAAACCTGTACGGATCCAAGGAGTGGTTGCCGCCCCCGCCGCCGTCTAATCTCATCGGACAAATGCAGATGTCCTGTTACGACTCCAGAGTGATGGAATTTGTGATGTACGACACGGCGGCGCATCATGTGGCACGGCGGCCGGAGCATGAAACGGCGGCCATGGTTATAGAAATCCCTGAAGGCGAAGGTGATAAGTTGAGGCCGGTGAAGATGAGTGTGGTGATGCCTTCCGGCCGACACGGTTTGCCGGCGGCCCAAAGCCCGGGACCAAGTCCGCTGCTGGAGAGGTGGCGGTCCGGTGGAGGGTGTGATTGTGGTGGGTGGGACGTGGCGTGCCAGCTCAGCGTGCTTGAGAATTCAAGTGTCCACGTCATCAGCAATGGCAATCAAATGCCATTTCAACTTTTCATTAAGGTAATTACACTATTCTCATTTTTATCATGCTAATAGTCAATTAATTTTATTTAAATGATAATCGAAATTTATTTAATTTGACACAAAAAATCACATACAAGTATTTTTCTAGTTTAACATCTTTGAATTAAATTTGGTGAACTTCAAATTTCAATTAAACAAAAATTATAATGTACTTTGTATTTCGCTCCATAGTATAAAAATGATTTTATTATTTTAATAAGAACTTTCAAAATTTTATTTCATTTTACTAATATGTACTCCGTACTATAAATTGAGTGATGATGAGAATTGAACTAATGATTTATTGACCAATAAAACTCTCACATAATGTTAAGAGACCAACTTAATAAAAAAAACTTGAGTTTTATCTCAGTTATGTTTTTGTGCCCTAAAAGTGACCTCTTAGCCTTGAAAATTAAATGTTTTCTTATAACTTTGGTTATATCTTGGAAAATATATGTAAGCAGGGAAAGAAAGAGGAGCCAGTAGCATTGACAATGATACCGATTGAGGATGGGCAACAATATGGGGTCAATTTCGACCATGAGTTATCGACATTGCAAGCTTTCTCCATTTGTGTTGCCCTTTTACATGCCAAGGAAGCCTCGGTTGCGGTGGAACGAAATAGAGAGGCAAGAGCCTTGCAACGAAGAATATTTGGCAAGGACGACTTCGGTAGTTTGATAAGACAACAACAAGAGAAGATGAGCGGGAACAAAATGATTGACCAAACTTTTCCCTATTTTGTTCTCAACCCTCTCTTCTCTCCGATTGCTCGGATTTAGAGTTCCCCAAATTAGTTCGTGTGTGGCTCGTTTGTCTTCCAACAAGTTCAGGACACAGAACGCCGAAAATTTAGCGGCATTCTGAGAGTGACGTGCTGAAAGACAAACACGCCCTTTAGGTTTTACTTTTGGGGTGAAATCTTGAAGAAAAAAGTGGAATGGTGTTCATAGAATTTACTCCGTAGTTGGTAGGCTTGTGATGGGGTGGGGGGTATTAATTTCATTATTTAGAGAAAAATGTAGCTTTCTTATTAGCTTTTATATACCATTACAAAAGTGAGAGTAAAGAAGGGAACTTCTATTGTATGTAACAAACCCCCTATAGAAAAATACTACACTTTTTTCTTAAGATTTTTGTTTTGTTTTGTTTTTTGTTTTCCTTATAGTGTAAGTTTTTCTATTTAGTCTAACTAATTGAATTTACGTTACATTTTTGTCCTTTCAATATTAACGGACCAAACTCAGTGATGTGCAAATTGAACATTGTTTAGGTAAATTATTGTCATTATCATTCATTACTGTTTACAAATTGACTAATCCTAACACATAATTACAGTACAAAGAAATTACAAAGCAAGTTTAAAATAATTTAAAATAGTAGAATTTTCAATGCCAGCCCCAAAAAAGATTATATTCGAAACAAACTTGGTAGGACCTCTAGCCTCTATAAAAATGATAGAGTACAAAAAGGATGTTCATTGCCATGTCTCTTACTTTTTTTTAATGTGCAAAAATATTAAAGGACATTCCCATTAATTATGTGGAATGATAAAAAATATGTGTGTTGTGAGACTTGAAAAAGAGTGAGACAAAAAAGTGATGAGATGAAGATTCTAATTATTTTTTGATTGGTTGAAAAAAAATGTAGAGGAAAGCCACATTCATGACAAGATGGCTATCACCCACAAAGGTGCTCCATCACAACAAGTGCGGCATGGTGGAGCAGGCGTGAGGGGGCTTGAAAAAGGGACACGCCACTTCTATCAAGGTCCATCACAAATGGCCTTACCCAACTAAGCAACCCTGGCCCGAGGCACGCAAAAACCTAATTTTATACTCCCTCTGTCCCAAATTGTTTGTTACATTTGTTTTTTCAACAATCGCGGGAACTTTTGTTTATTTCTACGTTTTCATTAGTTATTTGATAAAATAAAATATTTTTGACACCTCTTATTTTGAAGAATTTTTCATGTAATTTTTTGATATGTATTTTTATTTCTTTACCAATATGTAAATAAAATAAATTGAAAAAACTTGATATTTTGACTCCGTAATAGAAATGTGACAAATAATTTGGGAAGAAGGAGTATTCAACAAGGTAGTCTTGATACTTGAAGTACATGAGATTTTTTGCAAATATTTGATTTTTGCATATATTTCTAACAAACTTCACTCTCTATGGATTAGATTGAAAACAAAGTTAGCTTATCTCATTTCAAATAACTTTTCTACTCTTACCTCTCACAACATCTCTAATGAGAGAAGAACAAGGGAGGAATATGATGATGTGGAAGGAGAAAGATGAAAGGTATTACTACGTATTAAAGTGGTGGAGAATATAAAAGAGAATAAAATGGAGGAATAATATTCCCATAGAGAGAAAAAAGTGATTGGTCCATTCTTTTTTTTTTGTACAAATAAGGAGAAGACACGTGTAAAAAAATAATTAAAAAAAAGTAGAAAAATGATTAGACAACTGTAAGAAAAATTGATGGAGAAAATGACGAAGCATTGGAAATACATGATCTGAGAGTAGAATAAATAGTACGGAGTAATGCTCTTTTATAGTACTCCGTATCTTTTTGATAAACTTCGTTTCTTTATATATTTTTATGGTCATAAAATAAAATATTTTTGTCACATCTTATTTTATTAAATTTTTAATGTACTTTAAAATAGTGTAAGTTATAATTTTTATTTCTATACCACTTTATAAATTAAAATAATTTTAAAAATGATAATATTTTGCACATTGTTCGAAGCGACAAATATTAAGGAGTATATTTTTTAGGGAAAAAAGTAGCTGTATGCTCATACTCTCTCCGCCAACTTTCCATCCTTGACTGGCACACATAACAAGAAGTTTTTTTTTATTAAAATGGGCACTTGCACCTATGCAAAGAAAAATGTACTACTAGAGCTAGTAAAAACAATATTATCTCCTATATCTATCCTTAAATTTGACTTTTTATAAATTTTAATACTCCGTATATTATTATGATCATTAATATTATATTTTTTACTCCCTGTCCCATTTTAAATTGTATATTTGCCTTTTTTCTCCGTCCCAAAATAAGTTGCATGTTAGTTGTTTCCGTAAACTTTTACAAATAAAATACCTAAACTACCCCTAAAGTAAGTCACTCTTCTTCACATTATCTTCTCATTCATCGTCACCCCTCCTAAAAAGTAATGGCAATTTCAAAAAATTAACTCTATTTTTTCTTTTCCTTAAATATGGCAAAAAATAAAAACAGGCGATTTAAAACAGGGTGGAGGGAGTAACAACTTTTAATACAATATTATGATCATTAACATTATATTTTTTTTACATATATATTGTATAAAAATATGATATTTTGACACTATCTTTTACTCCCTCCGTCCCAAATTATAATGCATGTTTACTATTCACAGGGTCAAACTTCATTCACTTTCTTTCTCTATTTTCGTTAGCAATTTGATAAAATAAAATGTTATTATCACTACTAGTTTTGTAGATCTTTTGATGTAGTTTTTTAATATGTAATTTTTATTTTTTAATTTTATACTACCTCCGTCCCAAATTATAACGCCTGTTTCGGTTTACAATATTTGATTGAAATTATTTTCAAACCATTTTATATGACAAATGGTATATAATTAAAAAATAAAAATTACATATTAAAAAACTACATCAATATTATGGCAAAAAATCAAAATAGACGATTTAAAACGGGACGGAGGGAGTAACAGCTTTTAATACAATATTATGATCATTAACATTATATTTTTTTACATATATATTGTATAAAAATATGATATTTTAACACTACTTTTTACTTTTTAGAATGAAATTATTAATGTTATATTTACGGAGTATATCATAATCTAATACGGGGTATAATTTTTCCGTACTTTGTAGACAAAGTGTATAATATTTGACCATCAAAATTAAGAACAGAATACCAGAGGTGTTTTAAAAAGGCAGTTGCAACAAAACCAGCCCGACTAGAAAAATGAAAAAGTTTTTGGGGCAACTGAATTGGAAAAGTCAAAAAATTAGTGAGCCAGGAGGAAATACATTTTTCTCAAAGCAATCATTAGTGAATTGTGAGAGACATCTACATTTTAAAAACGAGGTAAACTATAAAAAAAAAACAAAGGAAATATATACAACAAAGCTGAAATTGGTGGAAATGAAAAACAATTCTTGCAATCTTCATACTTGGACATATAAAATTATGAAGAAACTTCTTCAAAACATGGTTCTTGTTAAGTCCTTAGAGCAGTAAGTTTATGGACATCAATGGAAAATAGCCTTTTGAAAGATTCATATGATGCAAAGAAAAGAGCACCTTGAGTAATATACATTATCAATCTTGGAGTCAGGCCCCTGTAGAAAAAAAAGAAGAATTTTTAAATACAAGTTTGATATGATACGCTTGTATAATAACAAGTACGGGAGGAATGTGTGAGTCTTAAAATCATAGTAACCAAAAGAGACAAGTTTCGGTATCTTGGTTCGATCATTTAGATAGAAAGTGATGTTGCACAACGTATTGGAGTTGTTCGGACAATGGTGACTATGTTATATGAAGCAGAGTGTCGGATGTTGAAGAAATTTCACGCTTGTTAGCTTCAAGTAGTTAAAGGTGAGGATGACGTGTGGTCACACAAGGATGGATAAGATCCGGAACGAGATTATTCGGGGAAGGGTGAAAGTGATAGGGAGAAAAACCAAAGTAGGACTAAAACATTGAAAATATACCAAAATAAGTGTTTTTTTCGAAATAGGACTTGCATTACCAAACATGGTCATGTACATTACCAAAAAAGTATAGTAATGTGCACATGTACAGTGCCACATTACCACATCGCAAATTCTATTTCCGTATTTCGAGAAAAAAAACATGAAAGTCCTACTTTGATACTTTTCTCTATGTTTTAGTCCTCTTTAGGATGATTTCTAGAAAGTGATACCTGTGGCAGAAAACCTAATGTTACAATACTATTATTATTATTATTATTATTATTATTATTATTATGGTAAGGAATTATTTATAGTTAGTTAACTATTACTAGGGAATATTATATTTGGTAGGTGATTAATTAGTTTCCTAGTTTATTTAGTTGCCTTTTGTGATTAGGATTCCTTCAATATGCTAGCTATAAATGTATCGCTATCATGAAGTTATTATTCAATTAATAAGAAATCATTTTCCCTCTATTCCTCTTCCCTCTCGTTCTTCTATTCCGACGAACAAAGTGTCGTGCGATTTTCTCTCCTCTTCCTTTTCCCTAATTACATAGCTCGAAGGTGCTAATCCTTCCTTATCCCGATACGATACCGTATCATTTGGTGCTCTCATTCTCGAACTCATCACAAATCCAAAAAAAAAATTGATGATTGCCAACCAAAAGATAGCTAGATTTACCATCGCCGCCAAGAGTACAATCACCGCGTCTTCAAATTGCCTCGATCCTGCAACAAAGTCAACTAAAAACCATTGCTGCCCTGAAGATCACCGCGAACCAGCTGGGTCATCACGAGATCAATTCTTGTGCCGCAAATTGGTTTGATTTCTTTACCTTATTTGTTGATTTTCCCATTGGAAGGTACAACCTCAAAGACTGGTTTCGGCCAAACAAAACAAAATCCAACACAAATTCTTTGCATGGCAATTGAAGAGCAGATCCAAAATAAGGGAGTTTGTGGCAATTTTCCCTGAACTCATCAAAAAACACAAAAAAAACATTTTTTTTCTTTTGGATCGCAATGGGTTCTGTGTTGGACAAACTTCTTGGTTTACTTGAGAAAGTTTTACAGGGACAAATTGAATTTTATGAAGGAGTGTGTGTAGTTGAAGATTCTGTGGATGAAATTATAAAGAAACTTCAGGCATTCCGTCAAATTGAAGGTCAACCAAAATTTGATTCCGAGGTATATGCGTTCGCCGTAGAGGCCTTTTGCTCAATACAGGATTTAGTTCGTGGCCTCCCAATTATGTCGAACCTGATTCCTATAGAGTTATACATTTTCAAAACAACTATGATGCGCAATATAAGGAAACTCATCGGCACTCCACGAGATTCGGCCTG